GCTGGCCCCTAAACTTTTAATTGGCTACCAAGTTACAAAATCTAAGAGTCAGATTTCCCTAAAGATTTTGTCTAATTTTAATCCCTGATATGATGGAGAAAATACTGACCAACATTTCTTAGAGACATCACTGCCAAAAAAGAACTTACCTGTTGTAACTCCTCCTCAGTAAGAAACTGGTATCTTGGAAGTGAGAGTGGTTTTGTAACAGTTCTAAACACCTTATCCATGTTTATGTGTCTTATTCTTTTCAAGATTTCTTGAACCTTTGGTTGAATAAATATTTTCTCCACATCTATGTCCTTTATGGTTTCAGATTCCTCCAGAGTTTCTGAAAGTTAAGAAATATAAGGATCAGTTACTTCACTTTGAGAATCACATACTTGTATAATATTCAGTGAGAGTTCCACAACAACAGAAAAAAAGGCTACATTTATGAGAACCAACAAGCAAAAACTTCTCCTTAAAACTACTGATACTTCCATTTGCACAAATTTGTAAATACCAGTTGTTGAAATATTTTATCTTAAGAATATTCTTCTTCGATTATAGAAAATAAACGTAAAATCTCCACACTGCAACTGCAAGTTGTTGCTCTCAAAACAATGAATAGAATTACCACTGATTAGTCATAAAAATTCTGCATCACATACAGTAACAAAAGTATTTTGCTGATGCAACCTTGAATTTTCTAATGTTGTTTATTCTTTTCAAGGTTTAGCAATAAAGAATAATAATGGCTGGAGATGGCTTAAATGGGTAATGAAGAAAAACTTTAATATAAGTTTAACATGACAGCAAATGTATCTTACATCTACTTTTTTTTTATTACAGCCTGATATTTACATAAATGTGCTATAATTTAGGAAATAATTGTTAAATTACTAATAAAGAAACAGGAGTGCTAAAACATTTTCAACTTCTTAAAAGTTAAGCAATTTTCATGTTTTACCTTCGCTTACCAGAACTTAAAAATTTACCTGCACTAAAAACAAACACCAGCACAATATATAAACAGATAAGAACCAACTCAATAGCATAACTGAGAAAAGGATCTCACATGGTGGTGGGTAAGTCACTCAACACATTGAAATAGTGCTCTTGCCAGTAGTAAAGCTAATAGAATTTTAGAATGTATTTAAATCCATTGATTGTAAGTCAGAAGAAGTAATCATCTATTTATACATATCACTAGTTAGTCATTATGCCTCACTTGGAATACTGTGTCCAGTTTTGGTCTACTTATCAAAATAAGGATATAGACTTACTGAAGATGGTTCAGAAGAGGACTAATAGGATGATTCCAGTGATGGAAGAGTTATCTTATGAGGATAGATTAACATCTCAACTTATTATTTCTTGAGGAAAGAAGGGTAAAAGGTAGCTTATTGAAATGTAAAAAAAAATATCATGGGGATCCTGGTTTCTTCATGATAAGTCCAGAAGATAATATAATAAAAGGACACAAGTTTAATATTTGACAGGCTAAACTTCAGTTAAAACAATGTTATATTTTTAATAGGTTGGATGTCTTACAGAATGAGTTGCTGTCAGTAGTAACAGAGGCCAGCACTTTACAGGATTTTAAGAGGGAGATCAGTGATTTCCTGAAAAATAAAAGATGGTTTTAGATTTTTACTTTTTCCCAAAAATGGGTGGGCAAGGTCAGACTTAAAAAACCAAGTGGTCCCTTGTTGCCCATTGTTTTTGTTAGGATATTAACTACTTTTTTAACCTAGTAAGTCTTCCAGACCATGCATTTATGGCGAAACAAAGGAAGAATGCTTTAATTAATCTCAGAATTTAAGCCTAAGTTAACAGGAGGCAGTCCATGTAACTTGCATGGATGAAAATCTTTAATAGGGTAAAAATATACTTACAGTTTTCTAATATTATTATCAATAACTCAGCTAATAGCTTTGATATCATTCAGAGATAATGTTTTTAAGAGTTGGATTATAACTCATAAAAGTTTATGACTATTTTTATTTTTTTCATATTGTAAATATCTAAGACAATAATTACAAAATACCAAATGTGCAAAGACACATTTGACAACCTTAAGTTTTATACTATAGTAGTTTGGACATGATACATTTACAGGGTGTTTCAAAATTGTATTCTACATATCTTTGTTACTCTTCTCACAAACTAGTATTGCTTCTAATTCTATTCTTTCTTTAATCAGCAATATGAGAATGGTGGATTGAATAAAATACAACTCAGTGTATAAGATATTGTAAGGATCCACGATCACTGTCCAGAACAGGTAATGCTTACAGTAACTTCTTTGAGGAATAGGCTTTTTTTGCTAACTGAGAATGATAGAAAGCACATTAAATACCTTCTGTAAAGGTTTTTAAAACATGCTGTGTCATATCCAAATTCTGAATAAACTTTATGATTTTCATTATGATTCTGATGATATTTAGTTGTCATAAGAAAAAAAAAGGAGCTTTAAGATATAATAATTTTAAATATATATGGTTTTCTTTCTAATAGCCTGTATTCAAAATGCTTTCATCAATCAAGTGGGGGAAAAGGTTACAAATACAATACTTTACGTGATATTCAGAAGGACTAACAGCCACTTTACTCATAGAAAATGTCTTAAAACCTACAGCCATTAATTACACCATAAAGAACAATGTTACTGACATGATAGTTTAGGCTGCCATTGTGCAGTCAGTGGTATTCTAAAGTAAAAAATTACATACAGATAAGTCACATATAAAATAACTAGAGGAATGCTAAAATCTAGCTGGCAATGAGTCACTGATCTTTGAAGAATGAAGGCTGAATCATTTCAGTGTAGAAAATGACACATGTTGGAGATGAATTATAAGAGGTAAAGAACAAAAACATTGTAAACACCAACACAGTTGAACTTCATATAATACTGCTGTTTACTTGACTATTTTGTAGGAGTTAACCCATCATTGGACAAACTGGGCTTTAATGCTTGAAGACACATGGTCTGACAATCTGGACAAGATTGATCCAACTACAAAGATTCAAAAACACACATGCCTGGTCAAAGAATAAACAAATGGTACTTCTCTAGCTTTAACCAGTATCACAAAAGATTGCAAAATAACTCTGTACTGTCATGGAAAAGTTTGGCTAGAAACATTAATTTCCAGTCAATACCACCAAGGACGGTGCCAGACTATTTTGCACCCTAGGCAAGGCCAGCTACTTGCACCCCTTGAAAACAATAAACTGGTTATGAACTAACAATGAACTATAAACTATTATGAACAATGAACTATGATATTTTCCTTTTATTATGTTTTTCTTAAAACAACTAATTTGTATAAAACTGTGATCCTTAAAGGTCAGTTCTGCACCCCTTCTGAGGTCTGCGCCAAAGGCGGCTGCCTAGTTGGCCTAATGGTAGTGCCGGCCCTGAATACCATAAAAACAAAGAGGTAATGCATGTCTAGTGTCCTGTAGAGAAATGTTACTATCTCAAGGTAAAGGTTTACAGTAGTCAAGATTTGACTGTTAAAGACAATTAATGGCTGGAAATATTACTTAAGTTTGAATATTACATAAATAAAGTTATAAAAAGGCTAGCAATTATGATATCCATGGTTGACTTATGGATGCTGGAAAGGAAGTTATTGTACAAATTATGTTAGAATGCACTTTTTTATGAGGAAAAAAAAGGATGAAGGTAACATGAAAATGCACACAAGAGAGGATGTTAGCAATAATTCTGACCATTAGCATTTTATGGGCAATATTAAAATTTATCTGAATTATGAAGATGTTCATTTTTTAATAGTAAGCAAAAAGTCCGAGGGATGAAAAATATAATGGTAGATAATGTTTTCCCCAAGGATTTAAAAGAGATTAAAGATTAGAAATGCAAGCATCACTCTCTTATTTGTGCTAAGTCAACAGAGAGTAGGCACATGTTTAAGGTTTGTACAGTTGCCAAAGTTCCTCTAATTTTTAATGGCAGTGATAAGAGTTGCCCTGGAGATTATAAGCCAGTTAGTCTTGCTTCTACATAGAGAGAAATAGAAAGTTTGATAAAAGAAATGTTGCAAAATCATTTAATGAAATATGACACCACAAAAGAGAGGTAACATACATTCACTAAAGATAAGTATTTCCATATTAGTCTGTTAACTTCATTGTACTTAGATTGTCAAAAGGCTTTGGATCATGGGCCACAAAGAAGATTAGCTAAGAAAATCAGATTTGTGGTGGTTGGAAACAACTAACTTGTTTCAGGGTAGATGGGTGAGATAAATTAAAAATGTTATGAATTGAGTCCAATCAAATTTTATCTTTGTTACTAGTGGTGTGCCTCTGGAGTCAATATTTAAGCCCAAGTTTTTCTTATTAATAACAGTTATACAGGCATAATTAGTAAATGTTTGCTGATTACATTACACTCTTGGGTATTTCTAGCCATGTTGAGTATGATAAAGTTCTACAAAATGACTTGGATCAACTAGTAAGTTGGCCAAATATTTGGCAAATGACCTTTAATTATAGTAGTGCATGGTAATGCACATGGATTATCATAATTTGGATGACACATTTTGTAGGTACGATTGGTGTGATTGAAGAAAATGGACCATTACATAGTGACAGTTATGTTACTAAAGCCATTAAGTCAGTGCTCTATTGTTAGAAGTAAATATTTAATAAATATACTGATTTTGAGTCAAAAAGAGGTAATTACTCTTTAGACATAATACTGTTTAGGCCCCACTTGGAATATTATGCATAATATACTAGTATATAATAGAAATCTACTAGTACTAAGATGATTCTGGGGATGGAAGAGCTATTTATAGATAGAGATTTAGAATATCTTAACTTATTTTTACTTGAAAAAGAATGATAAGTGGTGATCATACTAATGTTTACAAGATTACCTAGGGGATAGACAGGATGGTCTCCGATTTCTTTGTGCTACATACTATGTTTCATAGTATTCATATTGTTGTTTTTATCTTTCTTTCACTATAAATATAATGATATAATTTGTTACTACACTAGTACTACTTAATTACTGTTATGTGACCTATTCTCACATGAGCAGTTTACAGGAAGCCTCACACTGACACCGTGAAAGATATCGCCGAAGAACAAAAAATAAAAACAAGTCTACAATTAATTCATTGTGTACTATTGTCTGTAAACTGTAGTGCAGACATTGACTGATTATGACAACTGTCTTACTTTAGTTTACGTTTAATTTTAAATCATAAATCACAAATGTTAAAAACAGTAGTATTATAATGAAAATTTTCTTTAAAAAGTTAAATTGTAAGCGCAATGAATGTAACCCACCTTCATTTTTCCGATTTTCATAAAGTTTAAACGATGACATAAATGGTCGACCTAACAATGTCTGTTGTTTAACTATTACTCGATTACATATAAGCATAATATTTCTAATGGTTATCGCCATATTCATTTCTAATATCTTTTGTCGCCATCTATACGTAAAAACCTTATGGGACTTTATTTAAAAAACAGGATAGAAACAATAACGTCCTAAACATATATAACAGTTACTGCTATTTTTTTTTTTTTTTAATTTGCTTGAACTTAAGCACAAAAGCAAATTGGAT